TCATATAACTTCAGTGACCTTTTCTACTCAATAATGTTAATGAGGAAATAGACTTTATAGCCATTGAAATGTTCAAGCTTGGCGCATAGACAGAGGAAGTTTCTAGTATCTGAGCCCCAGGTTCGATTGTGGCCTCCTCAAAGCTATGCGGATGACAGTTGTCAAAAGACACTGAGCACTCGCTGTGCACCGGGCTCTGGTCTCAGTGCTTTCTACTCATCGTCTCCTCTGACCCTTAACACATGAACTTGATAATCTTATTCTCGCTGGATTTGTGGGGTGGAGACTGAGGCACAGAGACCTTCCAAAACTACACAGGAAGTGGCAGAGCCAGACCCAGGCAACCTGCCTTCAGTGACGGTGCCCTTTGCCCCGAGCTACACGCCCTCTCAAGCAAAGAGCCATTTACTGAGCACCTTGGACGTGCCAGGAGCATGGGCCGAGCTCTTTGCCGCCCTGTCTCATTTCCCTTCACAGCCATCCTCAGAGGCAGAGACTTGTTATCTGTGTTTTCCAGACAAGGTCACACAACGAGTCAGTGGCAGAATCAAGATCCCAGAGCCTGTCTACTAGTTTGCTTCCAATCGTCAAATTAAACAATTTGACGATTTCCTTCCATTGAGGTCACGGCACAGCTCTGTTTGGTGGGACTGTTAGCAGAAACGGTCTCTGGTGTACGAGATAGATTATGGAGCTTAAAGAGCAGCCAGTACTGATGTCACCCTCGGCACACATTTAAAGCCCTTTCTCTGTCAGCCGTCTTCCCTTCACGGCCCCAGAAGCAGTGCTGTGGCCTCTGTAGCACAGGCAGTTGCATTAATCCACTCTTTTTCCCCAACCAGAGGACCCAAGTTGGGAGATGACCACTCAGGATTAAGGCCCTTGTGGCCAGGTTGACAGCTAATCGGTGTGGGGAAGAGGGAGGGACCAGTCTCTGCACATGTAAGCCTGAGGGCGGTGGGGACACCCCAGGAAGCGGAAAGAGCAGAGAACCCGAGTCTGGAGTTCGAATCCTGACTGCCTCCTGCTGGGTGTGTTACCCCAGGGACTCTCTGCCCTCTCTGGACCTCAGTGTCTTGCCTCATGGGACTAGTGATGACTGGACCAGATAGCACAGGGCCAGGCAAACAGGCGGGTCAAAAACAGTGCCTCTTCCCCTCAGCTCTGACACCTAGTCACCAGCAGCAAGACAGTCTGCTGTGTTAGCCCTGCTGGGCACACTGGCGCTCAGGGACTCACCGATCCCTGGCACCTAATGCGTATCATTGAATCCCTGGCTCATCCGGCTTGGGTGGAATGCTTCCTTTCAACTCAAGACCTCAGCTCACATTAAGGATTCTTATCTGAGCAGAATAGGCTAAAAGGCATTAAAACTGCATCCACTCCTCCCACCAAAGGTCGTCCCTCCCAGAAAGCCTCTTGCAGCTGACGGCTCCTCTCATCTTCCTGAATGTGATGGAAAATGTCTTTTCTCTTTGTTGCAGGCAGTGCCCTCGGCAGGACACGGCAGCTCCAACAGGTACAGAGAGAAGCAGCCCAGAGCCTCACCTCCCTACCTTTCCCACTTCACTACCTGCCCTTTCCTCTGCTGCCCCCCAAGCTGAGGACTAGGCCCAGAGGAAGCAGCCAAGGGCTGCTTCAACCCCCAAGCTGAATTCATGCTCCTTTCTCACTGAAACTGCCTGGGTTTTTATGGGTTTGTTTTATGTGAAAAGTTGGCGAATCTCTGGCGAGACACCTGCTTGTTAAAAGGGAAAGAAGCAGCCTTGGAGATGGTGGTGCAGATTTGGAGAATGAGGAGGGGAAGCTGTGCTGGAGGACTTAGGGGGATCAGAGCTCCCCTACCCCTCCCCTCAACACACACCCACCAGATGCCAAGAGGCAAGGGAGGGACCAGCTCCCCTTGGCCCCTCAGTCTGGGAAGGACCTACACGTTCCTCCGCTTATCAGCCACAGTCTCTTTACCTCCCTCAGCATCAGCCTAGAAATCCATCAAATGAGGAAAATGGCCATGTGGGGATGAGACAGCTAGGAGAGGGTGGAAATCTTTGTACATGGGAAAGCTCTTTATGAAGATGATTTGTTGTTGATCTCAGTTTCTGCCCTATAAACAAGAGGTACTTTTCATAAGATGCTTTCACAACAAATTATGTCATTTGTCCCCTCACAACCAGTTAGGCAAACAGGGGTTATTGCTCTACTTATGGCTGAGGAAATTGAGGCTCAGAGAAGTGAAGTGACTTGCCCAAGGTCACACAACTGTTACGTAACAGTGGCAGGCTGGAGGCTTACTCCAAATCCCACAACTATCCCTCCTAGCCGCTGACTCACATCCAACCTGATTCTTTCAAAGAATAATGTTGATGATAAAACAATAGTCCACATTTATTGCGGCCCTACTGTGTGTCATGCACTGTTCTAAAAGCAGTATGTGTTACCTCCTTCAGCCTCACAACTTTATGAAGTATTGTTATTGTTACTTTATTGTCACCCCATTTTACAGATGGGGACCCTGAGAGGCTAAGAGACTCACCCCAAATCACCTAGCTAGTGAGTGGTGGGGCTGGGGTTTGAACCCAGGCAGTCCAGTGCCAGAACATGCTACTCTTAACTGCTTTCCCACTGCTTTGTGCCTTTTTTCATGGGGTCTTCTTCACCCCTGGGGCCCCTGGAGGACTCTGGGATTCCTCTGGGCTCCTGACGAGCCCCTCTCTGCTGTCCCCATAGGCTGCCTCTGAAGCGCACCTGCTTGCCCTTCGCTGAGGAGTTTGAGCCTCTGCCCTCCAAACAGGCCAAGGAAGACGATCTGCAGAGAGGTAGCCTCACTGCCCCACCCCCTGCTTGTCGTCTGAGCCCACCCCCACCCTCAGCTCCCCATTAGGCCTTCCCCAATGCTTCAAACACTGGTCCTGGCCCAGGCAGCCAGGATCGCCCCCAGCGCAGCAGAAAGGGTGTGAGGGGTCGCTTTAAGCATCAGAGCTGGTACTGTGCCAAGACTTAAGGGTGGGATTAGGGTAAAGAGGGCACCCAGGGTACTTGGAGAGTCATGGAGCTGGAGGGCTTCTGCCTCCCTTGACTTTGTTGGACTTGGGTGTCCTGGGGCAGCTGGTCGAGGCAATAGTCTGCTTATGTTGGGCAAGTCCTCCCTCTGCCCGCCACTGCCTCTATGGGGATAGGAGCAGGGCGGAGTTTCCATAGTTGGCTTTCTGGCTTGGATACTCTAAATCTGTGACTTCCTTGGGGAGAAGAACATGCCCAAACTTTTGGGGGATGTAGCTGACCATCAGGAAGACCCCAACCAGCAGCTAACATACAAAGCTTTCAGCAACCTTGAATTAAGCCTTGCATCCCATGAGGTGTTTCTAAATGTCTTATCCTTAATTCCCACGACAACTCTGCGAAGTAAGGGGTGAGGCCACCTCTGTTTTCCATTTGGGTAAAATGAGGCTCAGTGATGTTAAAACAAGTTCAAGGTCACATAGCCGGCAGGTGAGAGAGCTTGCATTCACACCGCCAAGATCAGCGCAGTCTGAGCAAGTGCGTGGGACCCGCAGAGCCTCAGAGTGTTTTCCAGCTGGGTACAGTTCCTCCGCCACGATTTGCCCTTTTTGCAGAAAATCTATCTTATGTTAAAAATAGTATATTTTAAGATCCCCCCATCCCCTGAGGTATCTCCGGGCTCGCTAAAAGCCACCCCTTTGCTTCTCAGTTCTGCTGTACGTGCGGAGGGAGACGGAAGAGGTGTTTGACGCCCTCATGTTGAAGACCCCAGACCTGAAGGGACTGAGGAACGCGGTAAGAGGCCCTGCGCACCCCGCCTTGCTCCGGCTGGCTCCCGGGCTTGTGCTCCTGTGCACACTGTTGTTCACTCCTTACCGTATCAGTTCTGATTTCCCACAGGAAGGCTCTGGGAAGGAATATACTGGAACCCATGTGGGGGGCCTGCCGGGCTGGCTGGTGGGGGTGTGCCTCTGTGATGTTATCTCCGGGCCAGAACCCCGGCTCCACCTTGGGAGTCGCGCAGACCATAAATCCTCCTTAATCTGATGGCTGCTGTCTGACAGGCCAGAGCGTTTTGTTGGCTTTGCAAACCTGTTTCTGTTTTAATGGGAATGAAACTCAAAAAGGCCAGGCCCCAGAGATACTCTTTTTTCCTTTCCCAGGGGGCCTCATTCTTATAGCTTAGAGTTGGCTGGGGGAGGGAAGGGGGAAGGTGCTGGCCAGGAGAGGCCGAAGGTGGTGTTCGTGCAAGGAGACTTCCCCCAAACCCCTAAACCACCAGACAGTGGGCGAAACGGCCCCAAACAAAATCCCAGCAGCTCTGTGGCTCACCTAAAAACTGCGCAAGCGCAGTCCCCCAGGGCCGGCTGCGCTCGAAGGCCGAACCACTCAGGAGTCCGGGTGGTTCCAAGACCTCGGTCTGGGAAAGGGACAAATGAATCAAATCATAACATCGTCTACCTTTTGAAGACCCACCATGTGCCAGGCATTTTGTCAGGCATGCTGCATTTGCCTGCTCACCATATTCTCTTAATAACCCTGAAAAGCGGTCACTATTATTATCTCATTTCCCATGAGGCGATAGGCTCTCCGAGGTCAGGTAACTAAGGTTACTTGCCAAGGTTACTAAGAGTGACAGCTGGGATTCCAGCCCAAGCTCTCCCCACTCTGCTGTGCTCTCCTGTTCTCTACATACCATCAACCCTGTTTGGCACCAGCCCCAGGAAGTTGGGTTCACGAAAGGACATTAATGTCATTTGAATATAGACTCGAAATCTTGGATTGGACAGTAGCTTCAAGGGTCAGCTCCCCATCTGGTGCTTGAGCTCTCTTCCCAGTGCGTGCCCACCCTCGACTTGTATACTTCCAGGGATGGAGAGCTCATTACTTAACGGGGCAGCCGTCATTGTACAACTTATGGTTAGAAAGTGCCTAAGGTCTCGGTTAGATTGACTTGAGATCTTCCTTGTAGCTTCCAGTCACATCACCATTAAGATAAATAATCTAAGAAGTTTTCTTGCCTGGGGGAATCTCTGTCAAAGCAGAGAATAACAGAGGAGCTGAACTTGATCCTTGCCCTAAAAGGCCCAGTGAAGACAACCTCAACCTGAAGCCCTTGACCTAAAGTTTGCTGCTGCTTCGCGGCAGTCGATGATATATACGAATCCGCAAAGTGTGGCTGAGCCCTCACCAGGGGACAGGCGCTGGGCTGGGCCCTTTATATAATCATCTCAATTCATGTGCAGAACTACCTGTGTGTCCATCCCATTATTTTGCCCATTTTGCAGACAAAGAGACTGAGGCTCAGCTAAGTAAGGTGACTTGTTCAGAGTTCTACAGCCGCTGGTGGTGGAGCTATGACCAAACTAGTTCTGTCTGCCCCAAAGGAAACTTCAGGAGTTCTGGGGAGAAATGGCCGACTCTGGGTGTGTGAGTGCAGACGGATGGCTCGCAGGCCTCTGAGCTGCAGTTTCCTCATCTGGAGAACAGACTCCAGCATTCTGGGATATAATGGAGGCAGGAAACCTGAGTTCTAGGCTAGGCTTTGGGCATGTGCCTTATGTTCTTCAAGAGCAGCATCCACACCCATCAAAGGAGGTTAATAATTCCTGCTAGATGGGGGCTATGTTTAGGTTACCACCCCACTCACAACAGGGCAATAGCGTCCCTATTTGCTCTGCTTCTAAAATAATAGCAACGGCCATTAATTGAGTTTTGACCATTTATTTAGTACAT